TCAAGCGTTCTCATTGGCTAAAAAGGACACTCTTATTATAATATTTAATTGTCCGGGACGTTAACATTTTGGTGGACGTCCCGTCCCGGACTGTCCATTGTCCGTGTTCCTGTCCCATGACAACACTGATTATATATATATATATATAGTTTCGAATATAAGGCCATACAAAAAATTTTTTTTAGTTTACATAACATAAAATAAAATTTTTGGCCCGGCCACCCGGATTTTTTTTTTAAAAAAAATTTAATATATATGTATACCTAATTATTGAATTATCTTTATTTTTACTTATAGATTAAATTAACATAAATAAATATTTTAAAAAGAATTGTAAAGTAGCAAATACTGTAAGCATTTGAAATGTATTAGATATAATAAATAAGTATTTTGATAAATAAGTATATATATACTTATAAATATGATTTGTAAACATAATTAATTCTATTAATTAATAAACATCTTTATACTTATAAACTAAATAAGTACAATGAAAAGGTATTAAATAAATCTTCTAAAATAATTTGAAGAGCATTAGATAATGATAAATGTGTTAAATGTGTATTTATAAATATATAATTATTTATAACCAAAATCTGTAAAATAAATCAGCCTTATACTGTAGATTAAATTAATAAGAATGAAATAATTTGAAGAGATTAGGTAATTGTAAATAAATATTTATTTTTAAGTATATAAATACAAATTTATCAATAAATCTGAATTTTAGCAATTAAATTGTCCAGTTATCTATCATGCAATTAATTAATAGCTAATTAAAAAAAACAAATTCGATTTTCAATTTTTGAACCCGGCAATGTTTTCATTAATTTTGGATAAGTAATATAACGATAATGATATATATTTTTTTGCGATTGTATTCTGAACGATACTACAATGTCAACACATCCAAAATTAAGAATGTATGTCCAGTCTTGTCAAGCAACAGACTTGACAAAAAACAAAAAGGGTTCTGAATATAAAATAAACTTTCATAATAAATATATTACACAAAAAAAATATGTTCGATATGAACAAGAATTTATTGACCGGACTAAAGAAAATATAACAAAGTTTTATTAATATTTGTCGAAACTGCATTGAAAATTATAAACAAAATCATAGTAAAAATCTGGAAAAGTATTTCATTTATTTATGTAATATAAATTATAGAGCAAAAAGCAAATCAGTATGAATCAGATAAATCAGATGAAAATATTGAAACGGTTAATCTAACTAAGGAACCTCTCTATGGTATCCATTTTAAAAATGCTGAAATAATTGTTATTGAATTGAAATATCCAACTTGTCTGAAGTAGCGCAAAAATAGTGACATCGATATATATTATCTCTAAGCATATCACAATCAAAAACTCCCAAATTTAATAATACAAGAAGGATATTGGTATAGATTAAACTATATATATAGTACGTATATTATTATATAAGATCAGCCCTGTGTAACAATATCAAAGTTCAGCGATTTAAAAAAAAAAAAAACTGGCACTAGATAAAAAATTTAAAATTTCCTGCTATCACTATTCTTATTTCGTTGCGTCTCATCTCTATTGAACTACATAGTAAATAGTAGTTTTGCATCATGTTTTCTGCACCGGAAGAATTCAACTTCAAAGCTGGGAATGCAACTCTATCTTTAATACAATATCGAAATACATTTAATCATGGCACTACAGTATGGGACTCTTCCGTGGTAACCGCTTATTATATGCAAAACCTCTTAAATTCACGCAATCTATTTGAAAAAAACTTGTCTTGCATAGAATTAGGTAGCGGTTGTGGCTTGCTAGGCTTAGTAATGTGTTCTTTAGGCTTTGAAACAACTTTGACTGATCTGGCCGACGTCGTAGGTAATGTACTAAAAGAAAACGTACGACGTAACTTATTAATCCTAAATAATCAACAATGTCAAAATATTGAAAATATTCAACATAAAGCATATGTTAAAGTATTAGATTGGACTTCTCAACTTTCTTCGGATTTTACTCCCCCATATGACTATATTGTTGCTACTGATTGTATCTATTCTTTGGATCTAATTCCTTATTTTGCTAAATGTTTATATGATCTTTCTAGTGACAAATCTGTAATCATTTGTGGAATAGAAAGAAGAGATCCAATTGTTATAGATAATTTTTTGAATGAATGTAAAAAAAAATATTCTTTTAATATTTCTAAAATTTCTGTTAACAAATTAAAAAAGATACTAAAGGGAATCAATGATTTGAATGTCGAAAACCAAATGCTAGTAGAAATTTATCATTTAAAAAAGATCAATGTTTAATCTATCCCTTATTTCCCATTATATTTATTTATATGTGTCTGAATTATGGATAAATTTTTTTTTAACATTTCAGGTTAGAATTAGAATTATATTAAAATTTTAATTTTAAATATATATATATTGTATATATCGATATATTTTAATTGCAAATTAAATACCGATACTGTATATGGTTAAGCCAAATTAATTTATTAATATTTGGATTAGTTAAAATAAAAAATTATTATACAGTATTTCTGTTGTGTTGTTAAATTTAACTTCTAGTAAAAGTTTAATTTTTTAATAAAAATTAAAAATAGTAAAAAAAGTTTTAGTAAATTGAACTAATTATTTCTCTTACATAGGACAAGCAAATAGAACTTAGCCGGCAAAAAATGTTATATTTAAAAAAATTTTCATACAAAAAAATTTTTATACTGTAAAATTTTTTTTATACAAGAATAAAAATTTAATATAAAAAATCGAAAAAAGTTACCCGGCTAGGTATAAGAAAAAACTTTGTTTGTTTGCATAGTCTAATATATATTATTAATTTTTTTATTAGTAAAGTTTAATACTTTAAATGCTGAAATCAAATAATATTAAAATTTAGATGATTTATTTAAAAATATAAATCCTACTAAAACTCACTTATAATTTTTAATTATAAACCTTAGTCCTAAATCCTAATCCAACTATAAAAAAATCTAAAAAAAACACTTCCAAAAAATTTTAAAATTTTATATTAATAAATTCAAATTTTAGCATTTTTCAATTTTAATATTATTTCTAACAAATAATAATATAAAAACAATTAATTTATAATATTTTATTATATAGTATTGTATATAGGATTTTTTGCTATATTTTGTTTTATTTTATTTTAAGTATTTAAATTAATTTAACCTTTATTTCAAATTTAAATAATTAATAAATTAATCTAAAAAATATATAATTATATATATTTTTAAAAAATTAACATAAATTATTTTAAGTAATTTTAATTTAAAAATTTAGTTTAAATATTTTAAAGAGAATTGCTATTTCCACTATGAATTTTTGCTATTTCTACCATGGTTACACAAGATTTTCTATTTTTAGATAATAATATAAAAACCTAATAACCCTAACACTAATCTTAACACTAACCTCTAACCTAATCTAATAAGTAAATCTTTCTTTTAACTTTAAGTAATCAAAATTGGCCTGCTGGATTTCAAGATATTTGGAGTTAAAGGCGCAAATATAAAGATCTACAAACTCACTATTACACAAAGTATTATAATTTATTATTTTTTTTTTAGTATTAAGGTAATCTTTTTGGCTATGAAAAACTTTTTATTAGAAATCAAGAGTACTGATTACAATGAAAATATAACTAGCCATTGCGCTTTTGGCGCCATCTATACTAGATGCCTGTACCTGCAGCCCAAATTAGAACTACCTATTTAAATCTTCTAATCTTTACTATATATACTCTTTTATCCTAACCACAGGACTACCACAGTTACAGCTTATCCACAGTAGATTTTGCATCTTGCCTTAGGACTTCCATAGATTTATCTTGGGTTTGCACCAACTAATTACCGGCTTGTATTTTTCCGTTGAGCAAATACTATAACTATCCATAAAGTAAATCTATTAGAGCTTTTCATATTCTATTCTAGCCAGCCTAGTCTTCGCAATCTCCGAGGATTCCACTTGCAGTATAGCTTAGTGACCACTATGCCCTTGTAAGGTTTACTTTTACCCCGATACCCACATTAAGACTTTCCTTTTTCTATTATTCCCTAACCAGTCCATTTCTTACTTTCAACTAACAACCCGGAAGGTTTGACTTTGGCCCGGCTCTAGGTGCCTTTGGCCCGTCTCATCTTGGTCCATATTTTCATAACATATATTCTTTTCCTCCAACTTGGAAGTTCCCAGTCCTCTAGTGTATCTAGCCTATTTTTTCAGCCCATGTCTTATGACTCATGTCTTCCAATCCGCAGGTCTGCTAAAGTAGGGCTCCTGTTACTAATTTTCCAGGTCGGTAACTCAGTTGGTGCGTACCGTGTATATCTGTCAATTTCCGGTTTTTTTAAATTGGCAGTTTGGTTAATTGATCTCCCTACTTAAGGATTTTTTGTTATTCGGTTCATCAGTCTTGGTCCTAACTTCCAAATTTGGTCTTTTCTATAGTATTGTCAAAGGTTTTCAGCTACCTCCTTACTCGGGGCTTCCAAACAGGTATTAATCATTCCGATTATCTAGATTTCATGCACCAAAGCTCCTATTTTAGATGGTGTATCAAACAACCGATCATTGGATAATCATACCAAACACAGGTCTATTTTTCAATATTGTTGTCCTTGGAATTTGAACTCTAGACCTGCTGCTTGAGAGGTACAACTCTACTACTTCACTAAATTGCCACATCTTGTATTATAATTTATAATACTTTGTATAATAGTGAATTTGTAGATCTTTATATTCGCGCCTTTAATTCCAAATATCTTGGGATTCAGCAGTCCAATTTTGATAATTTAACCATCATTAAAACAGGACCTCGAACATTTAGGATATAGGTCATATAGGAACTTTTCAGCAAAACCCCTATAAATTTGGGAGTAAAAATTTACTTTTTTGTAAATATCTCAGCAACTAGTGGTCCAATTTGGATGAACTTTTTTTTAAATGAAAGCCCTCAGTAAGGCACTTCTTTTAGAAAAAAGTTCATTCAATTCTAATTACTGGATCCGGAGATATTTAAGAAAATGTAAAATTCTAATTTTTAACAAATTAGGCCAAATTGGCCAAAATTCAAATATGACCTATATTAGAGATGTCCAGGGTCCTATTAAAACCAGAAAAGTCTTCTCTACAACTTTATTTAAAGCTGGAAGAAAGGTTTACTTATTAGTTTTAGGGTAGAATTAGGATAGAGTTATATAATAATATTAAAATCTAAAGTTAAGGTTATAAGTTTTTTTTTATATTATTGTTTAAAAATAGAGGTCGTCTAAAACTGTATCCAATCACATAATACAGAGCCAATAAAATCATTTATTTTAATCGGTACAAATCAGCCCAAAGAAAAAAAAACAAACAAAAAAAGTAAAAAATGCAAAAAAACAAAAGAAATGAGTATCTAAACCTATTTCAAAGTATTAATAAAAAATGTCAAGAGGGCAATTTTACTATAAAAAACACTCTAACCCAGTGTTGTCAATTGGACATGTCCAATTGAATATTTTGATTAGACAGTTTTGAACATGTCCAAAACTGTCCAAAATTGTCCAAAATTGTCCAAAACTATTTAAAATTAGATTGAAATTATTAATAAGTAATATAGTATTTTTAAGCAATTTAAAGTTTTTTATAATTAAAAATTTAGAATTTGAAGTTAT